TATATATATATAAATAGACAAACTTCCTTCGTTTAATAAACTTTCTAATACTGAGTTCTAATACTATCAGTAAGTTAGATAAGTTGAACATTTTTGGCCAATACTTCTGGCCACATTGATGACAGATTATGCTCATTAGATTCACCCCTAATTCATGGCTTCCACTGCTGATTCATCTCCCACCGCAACCCTCAATGTATCTTGTGGCAACTCCCATGCCCATAGATGAACTTCGCAGTGCCTTGTGTTTCCTTGTCCAGCGATTTTCTGACAGCTTTGCTGAGAAGAGAGGCGGACGCAAAGGTCTTCCCATCTAGATATCTATTCTCACCATTGATCCTTTGCTTTATCCTGGAATCAAGTTCATCCGAGTCCAAGGTGAATGGTGAATCGGATGCCATGATCCAACCCCATGTATTAGCATATGAAGGGATGTGAGCTGAATAAGGCACAACATATTTGAAAGCATGCCTTAGTGTGTTGTAGATGCAGGAAAAGACCTCTGTATGACTAAACACTCCCGCTGGTCCAGCCTGTGTGACAAAAATACCGCCTTCTTTAAGTCTGGGTTTCAGGATTAATTCATAGAAGGATTTGGTATAAAGCTGATAGCAACGGCCATCTTCAATGGGATCTGCCAAGTCCCCTATGATAACATCAAACTTTTCTTCCCTCTTAAGAAGCTCAGCTCGGGCATCATTAATGACAAGCTTAAGTCTTGAATTAAAGAAGGCCTCTCTGTTGACAACCAAATGCGATCTGCAGAAATCTACTACCTCCTCATCTATAACACACATAACAATCCTCTCCACTGTCTGGTGCCTAAGAATTTCTCTTGCCGTAGAACCCTCTCCTCCTCCCATTATAAAGACTGTTTCAGGCTTAGTGTGATGGAGTAGTGCTGGATGGACAAGACATTCATGGTAGATGAACTTATCTAGCTCCGTGCTCTGTAGCTTTCCATCAATCACCAAAGCCTTTCCAAAAGGTTCTGTGTCCAGCAACGCAATGTCTTGATACTGACTCTCTCTAGAATGCAGAATTCCATTAAGAGCATAGCACCATCTCAAATTCTGCTCGATATCCTCCTCATACCAAGTGTGTTGATTATATCTGTGATAGGCGCAGCCTTTTCTCTATATATATATATATATATATGATGGAGGTGAAGACAGAGGCTCTACTAGGGTTGTGGCCATGGTGCTGAGATGACGGGTACCTCTTTCTTGCGGATTTAGGTATGGTGGGTATCACTTTTGCTGAGGTAGTGCGTAAAAGCGGTCCTAATATTAATGCGGATTTAGGTATGGTGGGTACCATGACGCAATTGGTGGAGATGGTGAAAATAATTTTGTTAGATGGCAGGAAAGGAAAAATGGGAAACCCACAATTTCTTTATCAAATAATGGTTCCTTGGTTTTGGCCTCGGCGAGTAAGTTTGAGTTGGTTGAAAAATTCATATATGGTCATCCAAAATTGAAAAATATTACAGGTTTTCTTGAAGGTTAAAAGCTACTCGGAGAATGGAAAGTTGGTCTTTCTGATGGCAGGCATATTTTATTCGAAATTAGTAGAGATGAAGACTACGCTTGGCTGCTTTGCAAAAAGGCACTTGGAAGTGGATAATAAAACCATGAAGATGCTGAAATGGTCTCTCAATACTGAATCTAAAAAGAAACCACAAATATTACCCATTTGGTTTAGATTTCCAGGACTAAAATTAAACTTATTCAATCATTAATTTTGTTTCAATTGGGAGGTATCTATGGTAGGCCGATGAAGATGGATGTGCATACTTTCAACATAACTAGGCCATCTCATGCTATAATGCTTATGGAGAGGGACATTACACAACCGGTTCCTCATGAGATTTGGTTAGGATTTGCACATAATGGTTATTGGCAAAATGTAATTGTTGAACAAAACTGACATTATTGTAATAAGTGTCATTATTTTTGCCTTCAAGTTGAAAATTGTTCTATATTACACCTTGAATTCAAAATACCAGCTCCAAATATTTTTGAAGAAGTTGATGTTTTGAAAATCACAGACATATGATTTGATAGCAATAATTTATAAATTCAAGGTGATGATCATTTGATTTCTTTTTTCAGAATTCAGAGATTCAACAGTAAAATGTCTTTTAATTGAAAGCCTAAAATAGATTTCATTAATCAAGAAAAACTTCATACAACATTAAGGATAATATATCTTCTTGTAATACCCATTGATGGAGAGCATGGGACGTTCACCTTTACAATCTATTAGTTGATGATGTCGGCGGATTTAGGTAGATTTAGTGTGTAAATTTTGTAAATATTTTTTAATATTACAAAATTACACACGGCAAATATATAATAAATATGTAATATAATCCCAACAAAAATACCTTTTATGAAAATAGTTTTTCTTTTAAAACTCTTTTTAAACTGCAAAATCCCCGTTAAAATTAACGCAAGTATATATATCGCTCAAGTAATAAAGGGTTCAATTGAGTCATAAATATCGATTCCACAGGTCCTAGATATCGATCTCACAATCTCACAAGGAAGTTAGAAAATCCTTTAAATAAGTTTTTGAAATTATTTTAGAATTAAAAATATAAAAATAAAAGTAAAGTGTGAAGTTTGAATATTAACTACTAAGGTAAATGCTATATAAAATGCAGTTGAAAAATAAACTTAACTAACTAAAAACTAACTTTCAAAAATAAAATTAAGAAAAACCAAAGAAAGTTTTTGTGAGAAAGAGTTCAAATTTAAGGAAGCATTCTTCCTCTTCAGAATGAGTATATGGATTGTGAAGAAATTGAAATCATTTGAAAATATGTATAGAAACTATTTTGTGCCAGATAAGAGCAATCCTATTCTTTACCCTCTTTCGAGTGTTATAAAGAACATTGACTAGTCCAGAGTTTAGTCCTTAATTTTGTGGTTAGGCTGGGAAGAAACTGCCTGCCACTCCAGAGCTCCCACTGCTCCCTCACCTGAGGGCAAACAATCTCGTATTAATTTTCAATCAACTGAACCAAACTGGGGTTTTAATCTCTCACCTTAAAAACTTCAATTCTGCATATAACAAAGTATATTTCCCTATTTTTTTACACCCAATCCCATGGATGACATACTCTTCCATGAAATCAATTGTGACTCTCACTATGTTGTAGAAATCATATCCTTTTTTAGAACATATGTTTCTCAGCAAGTTTTTACATTTCAACTGGCCATATTGAAAAGTAAATGAAGATCGGAGTTCAAATCATCACAAATTATTAACATTTAAAATCATAGAAAACAAAAAACCAATTCTTCACAAAACCATATCTCAAAGTAGGGAGAAGGATGAAGAAAACTACTCAGAATTCATGAGTAGGATATGGTAAAATAAGGATTTCATATATAAAAACAAGTTTACAAAATAAAAGAAATAAAAGACATAACTAATCTCACAATCCTTCCCAAGAAAATCCCTAGAAGTTCTCTCCAAGCCTTTCTCTCTTTACAATCCCACTTGATTCTCTCTTAGAAGTGTAATGAAGAAGAAATCTCTCACCTTCCCTCTCCTCTTACAACCCTAGAAAAAAATCTACACTTCCCTCCTCTTGCCTCTCACGCCAACTCTCTCTCCCTTTCTCATCCCTCTACTCTATTTTTGGGTTGCCTCCAAAAGATAACTCTTTTGAATTTAAAAGATATGTCCTTTGATCCATGTGGCATATCCCTTCATAAAAAGAACCTTCCAAAGTGTCTAGATGCATTAAATTTCTCCAATAGGTGTGCAGAACAAGTGTCCCTTTGAAAATTTGTGCAAATTTTGTCCTGAACCACCTTAATTTGTAAAAAGTCATCTCTGGCGCAACATGCGCCAGTTCTCTGTCAAACAGCGCATCATGGGCCAGAATCCCAAAATTTATTATTTTGGCTCCAAATTTCCTCCTTTTTGTCATTTTTGCTCCAAATGTCAAAAAATGATATACCTGCAAAAAAATATGAAAATACCCTTCTTTAGAGAGAAATATTACCAAAAATAAGCATAAAATAAGTACATAAAATAGTATATTATTTTGGTGTATCAGTTGATAAGAACCCCCTCTAAAAAAAATTTCAACGAGGAAAGGACATTCTCATATTGGTTCAAACTTACTACCAGTTTTTTGGTGATCTATCATTGGTTCTTTGAGGACTAAGACCACTTCTCCAACTCAAAAAGTCATAGATCGAACTAATTTATCTTGAGCTTGAACCATTTGTGCTTTATATAACCTTAGGTTTTGCTGAGTTGCTAAGCTTGTTTCTTTAAATCCTTCTAGCTATTCCAATCATTTTTTGACATTCTATTTTCGAGAAATTTTCTACATGTAGCGATCCGTAGGGATGGAATTTGTACTTCCAAGGGGATTATATCCTCATCATAAACTAATGCAAAAGGAGTGGATCGGGTTGTGTTCAACATGTGGCTTGATAAGCACATAGAGCTTCCACAAACTTCTTATGTTATGATAGTTTGTTATTTTCAGGTGTCTTTTTTAAGTTTTAGATCAAGGTTTTCTTAAAAGTTTCTACTAATCCATTTGCTCTAGGATAGTATATCGTAGAGTATCTCCTGTTAATGTTGTGATGTTTCATAAAGTTGTTTAACTTAGTGCTCCTCAATGCAAGATCATTATCCAATATCACCCTTTTGGGAATTTAAAAGGAGTAAATGATTTCTGAAGAAATGCAGTACATGGTCATCTTTCACTTCTCTCAGGGAATGGTTTTTGTGCATTTTGAGAAATAATTCATTGTGACTAGTGTAAATCTATGCCCTTTTCATGAATGAGGGTCTATAGGTCACATGATGTCTGTGTCAAAACATTTAAAAGGTCAAGAATCAATGTTAGGGTGCATTATGTTTCTCGGCTGATGTAAAGCTATATCGAGCACTTAACACTGTTGACATTGTTTCGCAGTTTCCATGCAATCACTGATCATAGTTGGAGAATAATATCCCATTCTCTTGATTTTTTCGTTCATCATAGGGCCAGATTAATGATCTCTAAATAAGCCTAATTGTCTCTCTTTAATGAACTTCTGGGCTTTGTTCATGTCTAAATAATGCAAACAAATATGATCAATAGACCTCTTATACAATTTATTACTAATGAGAGTATATGACAGAGCTCGAGACTATGGCTCTGTTTGGAGCAGCTGCAGCTTTCCAGCTTTCCAGCTACAGTTGCACTACCCAGGAAGCTGCCGTTGGGAAGTAGCTGCGGGGAAGCTGACTGGTTGTTTGTTGCAGCTGCGCGAAAATTACTGTGGGGCAGCTGTTTTTAAAAAAAAGACAATTTTCCCCCTGTTTAGTTAAACTGTTTAGAATAGAATAATGACAGCCTTATATATGATACAAAAAAAAGAAATTCACTTTACAAGCTAAAAAAGTAAAAAAAATATACTCCTAAAATTTTAGCCAATCCCATAAGGCATAAATTTGGTACTTTTAAGGAAAAAGTTAAAATAAAAATAATCCAAAATTACAGATATTCAGCTCATAACATAGTGACTATCAAGAGAGTAAGAAAAAAGATTAAAATAATTACAATGATGATTAATAAGATAATTATATTATTTTTAACATTCTGAAAGTGTAGCTCCCGTGCTAGACTTTCCTTGAGCGATGTTCTCCAATCCCAATCTTCGTCGTCAGGGGAATCCGCCAAACTGTCTACCCAACAAAAGAAGAGACACTGTGTTGTGATGCTCCATAGGCAACTATAAAACTTTCTCCCATAGTTGTGCGGTCATCGTGACGTCAGCAGGGTAGTTTGGAGGCCACAGTGGCAGAGCAATCATTGGGATGTCTTGAAATTCCTTGAGCTTATATTTTCCTAATTGCCACTTAAGAGAAAAAACAAAACAAAGAAGAAAAACGCAAAACAATACCACACCATTCAAAGTGATCAACAACACAAGTAATAGAAATTATCATAAACTTAGCCCTTGGATCCCTCCAAAACAGGAAAAAAATAGCACTGCTTTATGAAATAGGTATTTACATATCAAACACTAACTTTACTTTTTTCCTTTTATACCACCCAAATCTTTCATATCACATAAAAAAGTACCACTCTTTCAACTTTTAAAAAAGTGAAATAAAAATTTTAATGGAAATTTAATGTAGTATATATGGTAAAATGGAAGTTTGGGTGTAATATGGAAATGTAAGGCAATGTATATGGAAATTCCCTTTTTTTCCAGTTTTTATCAGGTAGTAACAATAATTCAATTAGTCGTATAATTTTATCAGGTATCTTTGCTTTTGGAATGTTACAAAGGCAC